AGAACCAGAGCACTAGGAGTTTCACCAAATGTCCCCCAAGAAAGCTTGGTATGGAGAGGCTGGGGCAGCCAGCAGAGCTGGCCACTTTCAACTGAGCCAGCTGGGTCTGGGCAAGGAGCAAAGCCACAGTGACCCTGAGAACTAGAGTTCATTCCATTTGTCATTCCCAGTGCACTTGTATAATCAAAGGGGGGAAGGGGTACAGGGGAAATAGCTACTATTTACTCTCTAGGCACAGGTGTTCAAGCTGTATTTGATTGGAGTTAGAAAAATTTAAGTGATATACTTATTAATTATAAAGAAAAAGAACCTAATGGAACACCTGGCAGACATCACCAAGTAATAAAAGTGAATATCACCAGTTTGGGGCAAATGGAAATCCCAGCCAGGTACTAAGCAGCATGTGAAACTTTTTGTGCCTCAGTTTTCTCATTTGTGAAATGAAGATAACAATGAAATATACTCATTCCGTTGTTCTGCAGGCAAAGTGTGTCACATTTAAAGCACCCCGAACAGTCTTGTACAGTGTAAACTCTTCATATATGTTAACTGTCTATTCATCTTGTAACCTGAATGTTGCTTGAATTTTTTTGGAAAGTCTTAATCACAAGAGACCCTATTTTGAAAATACCCAACACAAAACAGGGCTGGCAGTGTGGTTCAAGCGATAGAGCACTTGCCTAGCAAACATGAGGCCCTGAGTTCAAACTCCAGTTCCACAAAAAAAAAAAAGTTAAATTTGGTAAAATTAATGCTATGTGGTTTTCCACAATAAATGTTTTTTTAAAAGATCCCATACACTCTAAGGAATTTATGAGTGAAAAAAGCCAAAAGTCAAGACTGTATGACTCTATTTATATGAAATTCGAGAACAAGCAAAATCAATTTGTGATGGTAGAAAGTAATGATGGTTCCTCTGGGACCAAGATTGAAAGGGAAGGAACAAGAAGGAATTGTATCTTACAGTGACAATTACATGGGCGTATGCAGACATAAAAAGTCTAAAAGCTTACTGAGCCACACATCGAATACTTTCTATAAGTCATACCTCAATAAAAACTTAAGGCACCATCAAAAAGCAAGTCACAGGATTTGACATAAAATAGGAAAGGAAGCAATAAAGGAAACTCGAGTTCTATAAGGCAGGGCAAGTTACAAATAGCAGAAAGCTCTGAGGACCTTAGAGGTTGTGGCATTAATGAGACAGCAAATTCTTTCTCCTAAATGAAGAGTATGACAAAAATACCACTACATGATATCAGGATTAGTCATAGAAAGCTGAGCACTTCTGTGTAGTTCTCTTGGGAATCTAGGATTTGGAGCTTACACCATTGGAAATCCTCATTGCTTTATCTTCCAAGTTCACTGCTAGGTTTGGAAAGATCAGCGAGGGACTCACAGAAGCCACCACCAGTGATCACAGCTGCTGGTGGTGGAGTGGTGACTCAACAGAGTGTGTGGGCACTGCAAAACTGTACATTTGCATAAGTTAAATTGTGGATGCCCACATACCTACCTGCCCCTTCTCCATGGTTACAGGAGCAACCATGCTTCTCCTTCACCTTCAAGATTTAATGCAAACACCTCTCCTTAGTAGAACCGAATCCATAACAGTTCTGGCAAGGAGTCCTGGGAGATGTAATTCCCAAGTTTTTAGCCCTTCTGTTGAAGGGGAGAACAGAGGAGGAAGAGGAGAATAGTGCTGGTTGCACACACTGGTTTGCTGCTTTTTAAGTTGGTATTTACTCCATTGCTGATGAGGATGATTGTTTCCCTTACACTTGCTTACTGTGCTTTCTATTTTACAGTAAACAATGAAAAGCTATTGTTTTAACACAGTTCCTTTTTTTTTTTTTTAGTAGAGGCTTGAACTCAGGGCCTTCACCTTGAGCCACTCCAACAGTCCAATTTTTTGTGATAAGGTTTTTCAAGATAGGGTCTCAAGAACTATTTCCCCAGGCTGGCTTTGAACTACAATCCTCCTTATCTCTGCCTCCTGAGTAACTAGGATTACAGGCATGAACCTATGGTGCCTGACTACAGTTCCATTTTGTAGGGAAAAAGAAAGCTGATTTAGGAGCAGCTGAGCAGCTCAAGTGGTAGAGTGCCTGCCTAGCAAGTGCAAGACCCTGAGTTCAAACCCCAGTACTGACAAAAGAAAGAAAAGAAAAAGGAGAGAGAGATGTGTAGAAGGTGTAGATTGTGTTTACAAACACTTCAAGTGCCCCTTTTGAGAACAACTTAACTCACACTAGTAACAGTTGCCATCATTCATGTGACACCCAGCACTCTGACCAGGAGGAATCTCATTGCTCCTTGTTATTCAGAAATTACTGGGAGCAAGACGTCCATTTTATCAATAACGGGACAGCTATAACACTTCAAGTACTTTCTTGTGCATTTTCCCTTCTTATAGGAGTCCATTTCCAGGCAGGAGACTTGTTGCTTGGAGGATGGAGCAGAAGGATTCCAGCTAGAACAAAGAAGCCTATTTGTTAGGAAGGGAACTGAGGTTAAAAAAGTCCCAACCAGAAGCAAATAAGGGGAAATCCTCCCCTTATGACTTGTGAAGGTGGCAAGAGAAAGAGGAAAGAAGGGCAGTAAGTGAGATGCTAGAAGTCTTGGCACCCGCAAGATCCTGGGGACCGACATGTGCTAGGGTGGGGTATGTTTAGAGGCTCTGAGACTGGAGCCTGTGCCTGGCTTCCTGTGCACTCACAGACCATAGGCTGCACAAAGGAACATATCCAGCCTGGCTTCTGAGCACAAGGTCAGAAATGGTGAAGGAGCTGGATGTCTCAGACACTGGTGGTTAGCTCTAAGGAAAGCAGTGTCTGGGAGCCCTGTAGAGAAGACATTGAGTCCTGTGAATTCTGTACTCAGTGTGCTCATTGTAGATGCATTACCCAAAATGTCCACAATTCTTTCTCCCCATTCCATACCACGTCCTTTGCAATATGACATGACTTTGTAGCTCCTCCTATCAAGAGGTGAAATCTAGACTCAGGCATGGTAGTGTCCTCCTATAAACCCAGCTCTTGGGAGGCCAAGGCAGGAGGATCAAAGTTTGAGGCCAGCCTGGGCTACATAGTGATGTAATGAGATCCTGCCTTAAAAAAAATGGCAAAATCTATTTTCTTTAAACCTAGTCAGGTCTTATGACTTGCAATGACCGAAAGAATACAACAGAAATGATTTTATGCCTTGTAACTTCTTTTCTCACTCCCAAACTTCCACTCTCATGGGAACCAGCCTAGGCTAGCCTCCTGGAGAATGAGAGGTCACACGGAAGACAGTAGGTGCCCCATTGACTATCAGCCAACCCCAGTAGCAAAGCCACCTGGCCAATCTACAGTGGGAGCAATCCCTGCCAAAACCCCCTGAGATGAGAAGATCTGAGCCCAGACTAAACCATCAACCCATGAAATCATGCACTAAATAAATGATCATTGTTTTAAACCCCTAAACTTTGGGATGGTTTGATACTCAGCTGTACCTAACCAATACAATTGCCTGCCTGTTGTAATACAGAAAGCTATTTGTAAGTAAAATTTGAGGAGAAAATAAATAACTGAGGAAGGAAACTACATAGATGAGTGAGTGGTCTGGAATTCCCCTGTTGCAGTGATGTGGGGTGCTGAGGGGTCAGTACAACTGTTTAGACCTGTATCAGTTCAAAGAGGCTACCATATACCGTGTTCTCCTCAAGAGGAGAACAAGTACAGGAGCAATGGGTACCAACGTGGCACCAACCACAGGACCCACTGCACCACACACCTAGGGCAAAGTGCACAGACCAGGTCAGATCAACTCCTAATGGCTGACACCAGACCCAAGTGGCCCAGGGGCATAATTCAGACCCAAGGCCTGCCAGCTTCCCCAGGAAGAAACCAGCTTCCCTGCACCCCGGCCCACGTGAAGTGAGGTAGGGAGGGAAACACTGAGCACCTGAAGTTTAGTTTGGTTTTGTTTTTCTGGGAAAGACGGGGAACCTAAAAGAGAACAGAGGCAGTACACCTGCAGCCATGTTTTATTCCCATTTTGTGAGTCAGGAAACAGATGCACAAAGCACTGAAATGATCGTCCTATAGTCACAAAGCCAAATCTGAGTAAAGCCAAGATGTGAAACCAGACAGTGTAGTTGATGCTACAGTGGGAAACTGGAAAGCCTGGGGTTGCAAGTCCAAGTTTCCCTTCCTGACTGCCAGCCGTGGGGGCTCCTGAGGAAGCAGAGGTCCCTTACAGAAAATGAAGATGCCACATAGGCAGATTTTTGCATAATCAGAGTTGAACCATTTGTACCCTAGGAAATGGAATTTTAGAGAGATATCTGTGTTTGCACATTTAGGAATTGGATCTGTGCCCTCCCTGCCCTGCCAGGGAGGCTAGCTTCATAATCGATGCTTCTTTTGTTGTTGCATTTTGTTTTGTTTTATTTTGCTTTGTTTTGTTTTGTTCTGTTTTGTTGAGACAGGGTTTCTCAGTGTAGCCCAGGCTGGCCTTGAACATTTAGCCTCTTGAGTGCTGGGATTACAGGCACACACCATCACACCCAGCATAATCAATCATTCTTGAGCAAGCCTCCTCTATTTCTTACATACCATGAATAATGGCAACTAATATGGGTAGCACTGCACACTTTCCATCAGGTTAGCCTCTCAGCACCTTGCTGGGAAGGGCATTCTGCTCTTCACATTTTGCAGATAAGGAAACAGAGGCTCAGAGACAGCAAGCAATTTTGAAAGCTCACACAGCCAGGAAGAGGCAGACCCAACACTTGATCCTAAGGCCAGCTGACTGCAGAGGGCGCCCTTTGTCAGGGGCACTCGTCTCTCTCCAAGTGTACAGGACAGGGCCTGTAGCATGGAGTCATTAAGATTTTGACACAGTCATTACAGGAACCATAGCCCAAACACAAAAGTCCGGAAGTCTTTGGACCCGGCTCCTTCCTCTTGCACCACCAGCCTTGCCTGTTTTGTGAAAACACTTCCCCAAGTAGCCAAGGGAAGAAGAAACAGCCTCATCCATGGGCCCCACCTCAGACTACAACAACCACCAGAGAGCAGATGGCCACCAGTCCTGGGGACCACAGGAGGCATCCTGGGCTGCACACAATGCACACCCCCACTGCCTGGCTCCCTCACCTCCCTGCTCCCTGTTGCTGGCGTTGATCCTTGTCCTATCAGGTGAGTAGGATCTGGGACAGAACAGAGTCCAGCGGTGGCTGGTTCCAGAGAGGGGACCCAGTGTTCTAGCATGTTGAGGGACTTGACTCCACCGAGATGGAGTATGAAGGGGGCCCTGAGAGCTTTCATGACCCCAGCAGAGAGCAGACTCTGACTCCCAAAAAGCAGGACGTCTTTGGAAGCAGCATAGAGAAGTGACAAGGTCCCTGGGCTCTGCTTATACCCGGTGGGTTCTGGTTGGAACTTGTGTGGCCATGTCTGATGCCAGGGCTCTGTGAGCTGTCTCCTCTTCTATAAGATGGGACCGCTCATAGGCCCTTCTCTAGGGTGCCAGGAGGATTAAACACAAAAGTGGTGAGATCCAGCATTGGACCAGCTACATGGTTTGTGGGAACCAGTGCAAAGTGGAAACACCTGTGTCTTGCTGAAAAAAGTGTTCAGAGTTTCAAGGCAGTAATAGCAGAGGGTCCACCTGGGAAGACCAAGCCTGAATCTAAGCTCAGGACCCTGTGTGACAGTACACATCACAAACTCATGAGCCAGCCTCGGCTCAGCTTGAGACACAGCTAATTGCAAACTTTACCACTGACTGGTTTACATAACTTCTCTGAGCCTCACTTTTTCCCGTCTGTAAAAAGGGGCTAATAACAAGATCTACTTCATGACTTTTTCAGATGATTCAATAGGATACTACTACCAGGGACTCAGCGTACAGTAAAGGTTTAAGAATCTTTTATTATCATACCTGTGTCTCTCCTCATTCAGGATCAGGCCTATTTAGCTCCTGGGTCTTGGGGCTCCTGGGAAGCTCAGCCTCTGAGCGCTGAGCTCTCCGATCCAACAGGCAGACCCTTTGCCCTATGGACTCATTCCATCTCCTGCCCATGCCCATGCCCCTACTGAGATCTAGATTCTGTTCATCACACCGGGGCCCTCCAATTGGTCACTCCAAGAGAGGTTCCAATGGGATGCAGGTATGGGACCAGACCTGGATGCTTCCTCACTTTGAAGGTCATATGAGTTGTGGCACCATGTCACTTCCCCAAGCTGCTTTCATATATATATATATAAAATAAAACAGAAAACCTAATGCCTACTCATTCATTCCAGAAATACTTTTGACTGTCTGCTAAGTTTCAGGTTCAGAAAAAAGTCAACCTAAACTACACAGAGTCAAAAATACTTTGAATATTTTTTGAAAATATTGATGCTCTACCAGGCTTCCAAAGGTAACCCTCAAATGGTGACCATGGAAAGCAGAGAACATAGAAAATGGCTGGGAGGGAACCCTAGAGCTGTGGGGGAGGGCCTGGGCAGCTCTATAAACAAGGCACAGGCAGAGCTCTTAGGACACGGGTGAAGGCCCCAGTGACAACCTGAAAAGAGAGTCGGGAGCAGGAGGGGCAGATGTGTTGAAAGGGCCCAATTCCAGCTTCTTCCCTGGTGTTTCCCTTCCCTAGATACAGTCCCAGCTGGGATAAGACTCATCCTGAGTCCTCAACTTTTCCCTCTGCTTCATCTCCATTCATTGCCTCTTTCTCCCCACACACAGGCTTCATCTGCACAAATTTATCTTTTATAAACAGCTTTATTGAGGGGCAATTTATATTCAATAAAAAAAAAATCACATGTATATAAAGTACAGGTGCTGCCGGGCACTGGTGGCTCATGCCTGTAATCCTAGCTACTCCGGAGGCAGAGATCAGGAAGATAAAGGTTCAAAGCCAGCCCTGGGCAAAAGACGGAGGCTGGTGGAATGGCTCAAGGTGTAAACCCTGAGTTCAAACCGCAGCACTGCAAAAATAATAACAGTACTAATAAAGTACAGATGCTACTTGATATAGGATGGGCTGTGTCCTGATAGAACCAGTATAAATTGAATTAACGTAAGTCAAAAACGTGTTGAATCCACCTAACCTGCAGAACATCAGCTTAACCACCCGAGCAATGTAGGAGGGTAGTTGTTGACCCTCACGATCGATCGCATGGATGGAATGAGAGCCAGCTCTGTGCCACTGCTCAGCTTCACAAGAGAGGCACATACCTAAGGTCACTAGCCTGGAAAAAGATCAAAATTCCAAGTAAAGTTTCTACAGAACAAGATTGCTTCTACACCACAGAAGTGAAAGAATCAGTCAAAACATTGTAAGCCTAGCTCTGTGTGGGCAATCTGATTACTCTGTGGGTGTTGGATAGGTTTTGCACTTACGAAATCATCACCAAATTCAAGACAATGAACATATCCAACACCCAGAAGGGTCTCCTTGTGACTCATCCTTTCCACTCCTTCCAACCTGAGGCAAGCACTCATCTGCCTCTGTCACTATAGCTTAATTTGCAATTCCAAGGAGGACCGTACAGTCAGGCCTCTTTTGTCTGGCTTCTTGCACTCAGCATAATAAAGGTGAGAGATTCACTTGAGTTGTTGTGTGTATCAGCTGCTCATTTCTTTTCATGTCTGTCTCTCATGTGGATAAGCCACGGTTTGTTTTTCTACCTGTTGGCAGACTTGAGCTGTTTGCAATTTAGGGCTATGACACAGAAAGCATCTATAAACACACATTCTTTCATTTCTCTTGGGGAAATAGCTAAGAATAAGATGACTGGAAAGTACGGTAAGATTTGGTATTTTTATCTGTTCCCCCATATTCTTTCCAACACTTGTCATCTTTTTCATTTTAGTCATTCTAATAGGTGTGGAATAATAACTCAGTGTGGTTTTAGTTTGCATTTCCTTAGTGACATGTAACAATGCTGAACGTCTTTCCATTGCATCTGTTTTGTTGAAGGGTCTCTTCAACTCCCATTTTTTACTGTGGTCCTTGGATTTTGAAAGATGTTTATAATCTGAACACAAGTGTTTATCAGATATATGCTTTGTGTTTTCATTCTCTAACAAGTGTCTTTTATTTCTGTTGTTGTTTGGGGGATTGTTTTTTGAGACAGGGTTTTGCTATGAAGCCAAGGCTAGCCTGGAACTTACTATGTAACCCATGCTGGTCTCAGCCTCCCAAGTGTTGGGATTACAGGCATGCACCACCATGCCCAGAACTGTCTTCTTTATTATTATTTTAACTGACACATACATTAGTACATATCTATGAGGTGTAGCAATATGTAATGATCAAATCACAGTAATTAGCATTTCCTCAAACATTTATCATTTCTTTGTGTTGGGAAAAGTCCAGACTCTTCTAGTAATTTTGAAATACATCATAAGTTCTTAAGGACTATAACTACTCTGTTATAGAGCACCAGAACTAATTTCCCCTGTCTAGTTGTATTTTGGTAGCTGTTATCTAATCTCTTTCCATCTCTGCCATCTTCCTACCCTCTCCATTTTATAGTGACCACTGCTTGGTCCTCTTCTTCTATGAGACCATTTTTCTTAGTTTCCATATATAAGTGAAAACATGCTGTATTTATTTGTCCTTCTGTGCCTGATTTATTTCACTTAATATGATTGATGTCCTCTGGTTTATTCATATTGCTGCAAATGACAGGATTTCATTCTTTTTATGGCTGAATAGTATTCCATTGTGTACATAAAACACATTTTCTTTATCCATTCTTCAACAATGTATTTTTCTACCTTGGTGATTCCATATCTTGTCTATTGTGAATAGTGGTGCAATAAACATGGGAGTGAGGGTATCTTTTGAACATTTGTGATTTCATTTCCTGTGGTACACACCCAGTGGTGGGATTACTGGATCATATGGTAGTTTCATTTTTAGTCTTTTGAGGAACCTCCATACTGTTTTCCACAGTGGCTGCACTAATTTACATTCCTAGCAAGAGTGAATGGTAGCTCCCCTTCCTCTACATCCACACTGGCATTTGTTACTTTTTTGTCTTTTGGTAATAGCTATTCTAACTGGACTGAGATGATACCTCACTGTGGTTGTGATTTGCATTTCCTTGGTGGTTAGTGATATCAGTCATTTTTCCATATACTTCTTGGTCATTTGTATGTCTTCTTTTGAGAACTAGCTATTGAAATCATTTGCCCATTTTTAATTGAGTTCTTTTTTGGCTGTAGAGTTTTTTTTTTTTTGGCTTCTTACAGATTCTAGAATTAATCACTTGTTGGACAAACAATTTGCAAATATTTTCTGTCATTCTTCAAGTTGTACTTTCACTCTGTGGATTGTGTTCCTTGCTATACACAAACTTCTTAGTTTGGTAGAATCCTATTTTGTTTATTTTCACTTTTGTTGTCTTTACTTGGTGGGTCTTCTTTAAAAAAAATCTTTGAGGATAGGCATGCCTCAAGTGGTAGAGCTCCTGCTAGCAAGCACAAGACCCTGTGTTCAAACCCCAGGACCACCAAAAAATTTTGGTTTTGTCTACATTAAAGTCACGAAGTGTTTCCTTTATTCTTCTTCTAGTAGCGTCATAGCTTCATGTCTTACATTTAGGTCCCTGATCCATTTTGGGTTGATTTTTGGACGTGGTGAGAGGTGGGGATCTAGTTTGACTTCTTGTATACGTGCATCCAGTTTTCCCTGCACTGTTTATGGAAGAGACTGTCCTTTCTCCAATGTACCTTCTTGGTGCCTTTGCCCAAAATCAGTTGACTGTATTTAGATGGATAAATTTCTGGGTTCTTCATTCTGTTCCATTGGGCTGTGTGTCCATTTTTTATGTCAGTACTACGTTATTTTGGTTAATTTAGCCTCGTAGCATGTTTTAAAGTCAGGTAACATAGTGCTTTCAGCTTTTTTCTTTTTGTTCATGTTTGCTTTGGCTATTTGGGGTCTTTTGTAGGCCTCTATGAATTTTAGGATTGTCTTTTCTATTTGTGAAGGATGGCACTGATATTTTGATGGGAATTCCATTGAATCTATGCCGGTTGGAGTGGCAGGAACATTTTAACATTTTTTACCATCTGTGAATATAGGATATCTTTCCATTTTTTATGTGTGTCTTCTTCAGATTCTTTAATCAGTTTTTTTATAATTTTCATTGTAGAGATCTTTTTGCTTCCTTCGTTAAGTTTATTCCCAGACATTCGAATCTTTGTAACTTTTTTAATAGGATTGCTTTCTTTATTCCTTTTTTAGCAAATTTGTGGTGTAAATACTACTTTTATGTGTGCTTTTGTATCCTGAAACCTTACTGAATTCATCTAGAATTGCCTAATATTGCACTTACTACTATGATCCATTTTGAATTAATTTTTGTTTATGGTTGGAGGTATGAGTCAAAATTCATATGTTTGCATGTGAATTCCCAACTGTTCTAGTGCCATTGTTGAAAATACTCTCCACTCTCTGCTGAAATTGTCTTTACAAACCTTCATCAAAACTCAGTTGTCAGCTGGGTGCTGGTGGCTCACACTTGTAATCCTAGCTACTCAGGAGACAGAGATCAGGAGGATTGAAGCCAGCCAGGACAAATAGTTCAAGAGACCCTATCTTGAAAAAAAACCCATCACCAAAAAAAAAAAGGGCAGGTGGAGTGGCTCAAGGTGTAGGCCCTGAGTTCAAACCCCAGTACTATCAATAAGAAAATAATAACTTTTAAAAAAATCAGTTGTCCAAAGCCAAGTGTGATGGTATATGCCTTTAATCCCGCACCTCAGGAGGCTGAGGCAAGAGAATACAAGTTTGAGGTCAGCCTGAACTACACAGGCTGACCTCAAAAAATGAAACAATTCAGTTGTCCATATGTGTGTGAATAGAAAAAAATCCATAATCATAATCCAGAAAGAGGACTCCCCGTTTAGTTCCATTGATGTGTTTTTCTATTTTTATACAAATAAGACAGAGACTTGATCATTATAGCTTTAATAATAAATCTTACATCGGGTACCATTAGTTTTCCAAATTTGCTCAGTCTCAAATTGTTTTGCATATTCTAGGAATTTCAGAATCAGCGTGTCAATTTCTAAAACAAAGCCCTGCTGGGATTTGAATAGAGATTGCATCAAATCTATATGTTAATTCAAGAAGAACTAGCCAGGGTTCAAACCCCAGTACTGCAAAATAAAAAAAAGAAGAAGAAGAACTAGCAGGCATGGTGAGGACAGCTGTAGTCCCAGCTACTCAGGAGGCTGAGGCAGGAGGTTCACTGAGCCCAGGAATTCAGCCATGGGCAACATAGTGAGGCATGTCTCAAAATACAAATTAAAAAAGAAAGTGGGTTGGAGGTACAGGTCAGTAGTAGAACACTTACCTAATATAGGTAAATCTTAGCCAAGCAATGCCTGTAATTCTACCTACTCAGGAGGCAGAGATCAGGAGGATTGCAGTTCAAAGTCAGCCCAGGCAAATAGTTCACAAGACCCTACCTCAAAACAACCTTTCACAGAAAAAGGGCTGGTGGAGTGGCTCAAGGTGTAGGCCCTGAATTGAAACCCTAGTACCTAGTACAACATTTACAAAAGTTCTTACAATGTATCAAATATATCATATTTGAATTCACCCCCTCCACCACTCTCCTTTCTCCCCCCATTCCTGGAATAGTTTCAAGAGGTATCATTTTTGCATTTACATACATCTGCACACATTTTTTGTACCATATTTACCCTTGTACCCCCCTTTCCCTGCCTCCTCCCTCTCCTGCTAGTACCAACACCTCCCTCCCCCTGCAGACCAATTTTCACAAAGAGTCCTTGAGGGGAGTAAATGCAGTGAGTTCAGCCCTGTTTCTCAGTGCTCATTCTGAAGCCAAGCTCAACAGTTCACCCCATCTCTACAATAGACCCATTTCACAAAACACGAGCAACAGCTGCAGCTTGTCGAACTCACAGGAGACAGGGATGGTGTCTACCCTCAACACGACACCACACAGACCTGCACCAGGGACAATTGAGGGTGAAAGGCAGGGGCCCTGGAAACAGGCAGCTGGGGTTTGAATCAAGGCCCTGTCACATATTCTTATTGGATGACAGTTTTCCAGGACTGTTGCAACAAGAGTACCACAGACTGGGTGACTTCAACAGAAAATGTATTTTCTCACAATTCTGAGACTACAGTGTTGGCTAGGTTGTTTTCTACAGCCTTGGCATATACACGGCCACCTTCTCTCTGTGACCTCATATGAGCATCTCCCTGTACATATCTGTCCACTGCATGGTGGTATTCACAGAGAATCCCAGCACAGAAGGCTGACGCAGGAGGATCACCATTCAAGGCCAGCCTGGGCACAAGTTTGTATCTATCTCAAAAATAAGCCAGGGGGCTGGCAGAGTGGCTCAAGTGGTAGAGCACCTACCTATCAAGCATAAGGCCCTGAGTTCAACCCCCAGTACCACCAAAAAGAAAAAAATCCCTGGATCAAAAACAAGACAGGCACAGTAGGACATACCTATAGTCTCAACAACTAGGCAGTTAGAGGAAAGAGGATCACAATCGAAGCGAGCCTCAGCAAAGTTAGTGCACCTCAAGTGGTAGAGCACCTGCCTAGCAAGCTGGAGGCCCTGAGTTCAAACCCTAGTATTGTCAAGTGGTAGAACATGAGTTCAATCCCCAGTTCCAAAAAAGAAAAAAAAAAAAGCCACCAGTCAGATTGGATTAGATTGGATCCACCCTAATGTTGTCTTTTAATTAACTCTTTAAAGACCTTATCTCTAAGTATAATCCCATGCTGAGGTACTAGGGATTAGGACTTGAAGATATGCATTTGAGAAAGATAATTCAGCCCCTAACATTGGTAAAGTACCTAGCCTCTCTGGGTTCTAGTTTCCTTTCTTTTTTTTTTTTTTTTTTTTTTTTGCCAGTGCTGGGGTTTGAACTCAGGGCCTCAAGCTTCCTAAGCAGGTGCTCTACCACTTGAGCCACTCCACCAGCTCTCTACTTTTCTCTGTGACAAAATGGGGAAGACGCTGTCTACCTCATAGGAGCTCTGTGAGGCATAGGTGAGATCACGCATGCATGTGCAGTTCGTGGTGACCACTCAATTCAGCTGATTCTTTATAGATTTTCCATTAAGATCTATAAAGAAGGCCATCTGTCGTCCCGCCTTCCCCTGTCCGTTCCATCCACAGCCCTGCCTGTCCTGAGCCAGTGCTCTTGACTAGACAATGACTAGATTCTTTTCTCAGACCTGCCCTCTGGGGCTCCAAGCCATCCTGCCAGTGAACAGCCTTTTCTCCTCTGTTATAGGGGTCTCTGCACAGAGCAATGGGAATGAGAGACAGGTGCTGCAGCCTGAGGGCCCCATGCTGGTGGCAGAAGGTGACACACTCCTCCTGAGGTGTATGGTGCTTAGCTCCTGCATGGATGATACAATAAAATGGGTCAAGGTGAGTGCCTAGGATGAGCGAGAAGTGTATAATTTCCAACATGGCTTCTTCCCTGGGGTGACACCCCTGATCCAGCGCACATTGGAGCCTCTCAGTTGCGATTATTCCATCTATATCCACAACATCACCAAGGAGCACATAGGAACCTACTTGTGTGCGAAGTTTGATGGCTTGAGCGAGGACTCAGAAAGGAAGCTGGACGAGGGCACCTCTGTGTTTGTAAAGGGTAAGTAGGAGGTGCTGCAGCTCTCACATTTGCTCTGATCTGCCTCTCCTTCCTGCACAATCACACAGGATCTATCCACCCGGCACATTTGCTGGCAGCTGGGGTAATTCTGCTCCTCCTGTCTCGTGCCAGGGCCCAGGGTGAACAGGTAGCAGCTACTGGTGGTGTGTTTTTGTCATGGAGATGGCAGAAGCACAGCTCCCCACATTCCATCTAAGCTTCTATCCTATTAAGTCTTCTAACAGCCCATTGGTTATGGCAAGCCACAAGGCTCAGCTCCAAGTCAAGGAACAAGGTAGTGTGGTTTTCCATCATGAGGCTCTGGCAAGATTGTGGAGGAGGGGAGTCAGGATTTGGGGCTGGTGATGTAATCTGTGAGTCCCCCAAGTAATCAGCCAGGTGCCCAGAATTCCATGGTTACCTGGATATCCAAATCCTGGGTTTGTTACTCAGTAGCAGTGTGTTCTCTTTCTTTTATCAGGATCTTGCTATGTAGCCCAGGCTAGTCTAGAACTCACAATCCTCCTACCTCATCCTTCCAAGGGCTGGGATTACAGCCATGAGCCATCACACCCAGCCTGTAGTCTGTTCTTACATCTATGAACGTCAAGTGCTTAAATTGCAAAATAGGCAACAAACTGTGTACATCATAGCACATTCAGTGGTTAAACAGAAGGGTGGATGCTTGGGAATACCCCTTCCCCAACCCCACCAATGCTGTTGACAGGAAGAGGATCTGTGTGAGAAGGGTCATTTTAACTTGACACCAGCATTTCTGGAAGCTTTCTCTGGTCTCCTTCCAAGCTGCGATGGTACCTTCTCTGGGGTCCTGAAGTCTCCTGAGATCCTAAATCCTCTGGTTTCCAGACCCAGGGTGCTTTTCTTGACTACCTCCACCACCACACTGAGAATGACTTCCAGAAAATCTTGAGTCTTGTTATGTTTTTTGTTGTTTGTTTGCCAGCCTTGGCACATTTAGCAGGTACTCAGAACTTTTTACCGAATGAACCAACCTGTGAACAAAGGAAGGAAGGGTAGAGAATGGCTGAGAGAAGAAACCCGAGCAGCGGGAAGGGAGGAGAGATGCCAGAAGGAAATGAGCGGGCTTTGGAAGGGCAGAGGGAACCCAGCAAGGATCCTCTCTTGGCCTTCAGGAGCTAAAGACCCGGAACCAGGCCTCTGGATCTTCCAGCCCCAGGAACTGGTGTTGGTGACCCCTGGAGACATTGCCTTCCTGAACTGCACAGTGCTCGGAAATGGTCCCCCTGGCCCCATCAGGTGGTTCCGGGGGACTGGTCTGAACCGAGAAGCCATTTACAACTTTGAAGGCATCTCCCACCCCAATGTGACAGCAGTGAGGGCCTCCAACAATGACTTCAGTATACATCTGCAAGGTGTCTCCTTGGAAGATGCTGGCACCTATTACTGTATAAAGTTTCAGAGGAAATCCAACACGCAGTACCTGTCTGGACAGGGCAGCAGGCTGAGAATGAAAGGTGAGACTGGGTGCTTAGGAGGTGTTGAGGGCAGGTTGTCCAAAAGGAAAGTTTCACCATATTCCAAACAAGCCAGCTCCTCTATAGCCTCTGTACCTTTACATAAGCTGTTCTCTCTACTGGAGCTTTCTCCTTTTTTTCTGAGAAAACACCTACTCTTCCTTCATGGCCTGGTGTAAATAATCCCTCTTCTGTGAAACTTTTTCCTTGTTCCAGGCAGATGTAGCTTCTCCAAATTCTGGATGCCATCAAATTTTGTACAGACCATTAAGAATTCAAGAAATGTCTGTTGCATTCTGCATGGTGCTGAGTGCTAGAGATGCTGTGATGCATTACATTGACTGTATCCCAGAGATGCACAGGCAAGAAGGTCTCACTAGTCCTTTAGAGTTGCAGGGTTTGTCTTCCAACCCCCACCCAGGTAGAAACTGCAGGCTTATGCGTGGCCCCAGCTCTTAGCACAAGCTCAGGAAGTGGCAGGAGAGAAAGCTAAGGGGAAGCAGGAGAGAGACTCTCTCCCTTACAGCAAACCCCACTTTCCCACAGAGACAGAATTCTCCAATGAACCTGAGGCTCAGATAGCTCCAACAGGTGAGTGTACCCGCTTCTGGGGAGTTAATGGGTTCCCCACAATTAGGGGGTACCGCAGATGGCTTAGCCATGGAAAGGGCTCATCTGCCACCTGGAAAATCCCCAGAACTCCAGCTCAGCGCAGAGGAGGGACCCTGACAGCCATGTTCTAGCAGCTGAAAAAAAGCAGGGCTCTGGGAGCCAGTGATGCCTCACTGCTCAGTGGGAAGCATTGCTTGACAGGCGGTGACCAACCCCCGACAATGATAGAGTGTAAGACTGTACTGAGAGGCTGGGTGCAGCTGTGCCAAGGGCATGGCTGTGGGGCCAGGCCTCTGGGATGGAGACTTTCACAGTTGTGTGTCATGTATGCATTGCCTTGCTCCTTGATCTTTAATGTCTAAAAAGAGGGGGAGGGAGAGGATGGAAAAGCCTGCCTCTTTGGGGCGAAGGGTGGTTCTCCAGTGAGGTCAGAGGGGCCAAGGGCCCCCTGGTAACACTTGGGGGCACTGGGTGACTGGGGAGCTTGGGGTATGGCCACATTAGCCTCCCTGATGCTGGGCTCTATTCCTGCCACTTGTGGGAACCAGACCACCTAGGTCCCATCACTTCTTCTTTTGCAGTACTGGGGACTGAACCCAAGGCCTTGTACTTGCTAGGCAAGTGCTCCACCACTTGAGCCATGTCCCCAGTCCTGTTGTTTTCATTTTGTTTTTGAGATAGGATCTTGCAGAACTTTGCCTGGGCTGGCCTTAAACTTGAGATCCTTCTGCCTCCACTTCCCAAGTAGCTAGGATTACAGGTATGCACCATCACGCTCAGATTTTTTCTTTTTTAATTTTTAACTGACACATGGTATTTATGCACATATTTACAGTACCAAGTGATAACTCAATACATGAATACAATATGTAATCACTTCTTTGACACAAGTAGTCCTAAACAAACCACTTCCCACTTTGAGTCTGTCTCCTCATCTACAGAAACTGATCATTAACCTGTGTTAGAGGACTAAATTAGGCAATTGGGGCATGCATGACTCAGGTTCTGAGGCAGAGGAGCAGGGCAGCCAATCAATGACAATAGATTTCTACCAACTGAGGTCAGGTGTTGTTGAAATGATGTGGGTGTAAACAGGGTGTCAGCCAAGACTTCTTTGGTCCCATGACAGAGGGAGGGGAGGGCTTTGATCAGTGTAGAAAGGACAGCAGCAGAACCTGACCTCTCCCAGGGCTATACAATACTCACTGAGGGTCCTGCTAAGCTCTCCCCTCTCCCCCAGGCCTCCTGTCTGTGCTTACACCTGTGGTCCTGGGGCTGAAGGCAGTGACCTTGGCTGCACTCCTACTCACCCTGGCTGCCTGCAGGAGGAGCCTAGGCAAGAAGACTTCAAAACCCCAGGCCTAGCACTGCAGTGAACAGCTTAGTATGGATCGAGGGGCAGGAGCAAGGGATCATCCCTGGTGTTGGATCCTCTGACATGGAGGTGAGCCAGGCTCCTCCACCATCTCTCTGCCTTCAATCCCAGCCTCCGCATGCCAGCCGGGTCTAATGACAAGTCTAGATCCCTACGCCTGGCTGCAGTCACCTGGTAAAATTCCCCACTTGGCACTGGACACCCCTCTGATGGCTGCTTCTCTCTCCTCAGCCTGTTCAAGCCCTCCTGTTCTTTCCAGTCCTCTCCCTGGTTACAGCTCCTTCTGCCGTGCCTCCCACTTTCTGTCACTCTCCTTAGCTTTCTTGTCATTCACCATCCAACCCAGCGTCTTCTTCCCAGAAGATGTTGCTGGGCATTTCTACTCATCCAGTGGAACACCTGTCTCCCTCCCAAACACACATTCACATCCCTCTCTCCCACTTTTTCCTTCTTTCCTTCCCCAGTGGCCGGCTTGGGTGGGTGTAAGAGAACACAGGTGTGGCAACTAACAAAGCTCTTGAATAACAGTGGCTTAAACTAAAAAAAAAAGAGAGAGAGAGAGATTTTTCTAGCAATATCCTGCTATAAGCAACCCAGGCGGCACATGGGCGCCCTAGTTTGGAGCCCAGGATTCCTTGGTCTTGTAGGTACCAAGTCCTCATCCCAGGCTTCAAGACTGGGGAGAGAGACAGGAAAAGGGAATGACCCTCCCCCCTTTAAGGGCACAGTCTGGAATTTGCATCCCTCACCTCTCACTGGCTGGAATATGGTCACACCTAGCTGCAAGGAAGGCTGGGAAATGTAGTCTATATTGTGGCAGCAATGTGCTTCACTGAAATGTTTCACTAAGGAGCTGGAGGGCAAATGGGGTAACTGGAGATCTCCACCACTATGAAGTGAAGGCCTCCTCTTCCTTGCCACGTTCAATACCTGAGCTTAATTCCCAGTGGGGCAGCATAAAGGAACGCACTTCTCATTAAGAGTGCCTTTGACCTCCACTTGGAGGTTGCTACCGCCATCTAGTGGTAGAGGCCGACGGTGCCGTCTAGCAACCTCTAACACACCGCTCAGCCCACCATCAAGCAGTACCTGGCCCAGGTCTCCAGGGCCCTGAAGCCCAGAAGTACCAAAGAGTCTGATGTGAGTGACTTCAAACCCTGAAAGATCCTTCAGCGACACAACATCGAGGACAATAACAGGGACTTCTCGGCCCTGTGTGAGAACCGGGTCCATCTCACACTTACTGAGACCCTAGTGAAAACAGAGTTTTGGACCCAAGGCCCAAACTCCATATGTCAGCTCAGGCCACCCGCCCCTAAATGCCAAATAAAGGGGTATAGTGAAGGCAGAGAAAGGAGGTTTATCACATGGCTCGGAACATGCCTTGGGAGTAATCAGAGCAAGCACTCAGCTCATCTTCAGTCATCTTCGGGGTACAGCCATGAGCTATAGGTATAAATAGGCAAAAGAACTTGGGGCAGGGGACAAAGGCATACATAGTCTAACAGCCGCAATCACAGGTGTAGTTGTGACTAGCAGAGCAGTCTTGTCAGGCAGGTGGTTTGGCTGGTCCAGTTTTGGAAAGTCACCCCATGAAGGGAGTAATATGGTTCCTGCTTGAGAGGATTCTTGGAATAATTGTCCTCACTGGGAGGGTAGCAGCTCCAGGTGGCTCCAGTTCATTGTCATAAAGATATTATCAGTTTTGTCCTTTTGGGAATCCAAGGTGATTGTAAAGTGACTGTAAAAAGAATAGCTTACAGCAAAGACAGATACAAAATGGAGACAAATGTGCCAAGCTTTTCCTGTTTTTAGTTAATTTGTGAGCTCAAATAAGGAGTCAGTGCTTTTCAGCAAAAGCAACTTGAGCACTTCTTACACTGGTATGTGCTGTGTGCACTGTGGACCTTCAGTACATGTGGACTCTCTTTCCTCTTTCCATGGAAACATTCAGTAACACCTACGCCAGGGGAAAGAGGATCAGTCTGGATGCTTGTCGTTATGGCAAACAGGAAAACAGCTTGAACTAAGCTAAAGAGGACATTATGTCTAAAAATGGAATGAGTCATTGCATTACCAGACTAATATTAAAAAGGGTAATAATACCCCCCCAATGATATCCACATCCTAATCTCTGGAACCTATGAATGTTGCCTTATATGGGAAAAAAAGGATTTTATGAATGTGATTAGATTGAGGATCTTGAGACCAGGTGGTGAGCCTGGATTACCCAGCTGAGCCCTAAATGCAATCCCAAGCGTCCTTATAAGAGAGAGCAAGACAGCAACATGTAGTGCAAAATCGCAGAGAGCAAGGGGCCCACAAAAGCGGAGCCCAGAGTGATGTGGCTGTAAATTAAGGAAAGCCTGCAGCTGGAAGAAACACAGAAGGATTCTCCCATGAGGCTCCAGAGGCAGCATGGTTCTACTGATGCCTCGATTTCAGACTTTGGGCCTGGATAGTGAGAAAATAAATTTCTTTTGTTTGAAAACACTGAGTTTATGGTCATTTGTGACAGCAGCCTCAGGAGGTGATACCACAGGTAAACATGGAGTTGGAGCTCCAGAATGACCTCACAGGGGTCTCTGACCTGCCGCTGCAAACCCCGCCTGTGGGGCACTGCCCAAGCTGGTCCCTGCCACCCCTCTAACCTCACTTCCCACTACCCCCTAAGTTGACCCCATTCCAGCAGTCCCTTGGGCTGTGATCATTTGAGTCTCTGCTTGACTGTTTCCATTAGGAAGCCTCCCTACACCACTCTATCCATGCTGGCACCTCCAACCCCCTCATCTCCCATGATTCTTGCTACTACCTGAAAAAAAAGGTGTGTGTGCGCTTGTGTGTGAGTGTGTGTGGGTGTGTGTGTGACTGTGTGTGTTTATTTCCTTGGTCGTTGTCAGTTAGCTCCCTCCACTAGAATTTGAGTTCCCTGGCAGCAGGAACCTCATTTTCCACCATTGTATCCCGTTCATTCAGTCCTAAAGGAGGTTGCGGTCTGACTATGTGCTCAGGCACTAACCAGTGTGCTGAAAATGAAGCAGAAAAGTAGTACACATAGTATATGTGTACAGCATATATAGCAGGGAGGAGGACCAGAAGAGAAACAGACAGACCTGTGTTCTGATAAAGTAGCAGGGGGAAAGGGATGGCATAGCAGGGAGATAAAACCTAAAGAATCTGAACGGGAAGAAGGTCACATAGCACTAGGGGTAGAGGGGCACTAACACTAGGGTGAAGTAGCCTATAGAATTGCATGTACCACATGTGGGTTAAACCTTGTTTTGTTTTGTTTTCTAATTTTATTGCCTCTGTAACCTGCTTGCAAGGGTATATAAGGTGAGATCCCTTTGTTCTCAGGGCTCAGCCTTTAGACACAAGCCCGCTGAGTCTGTGCCAGCACAATAAAGCGTTGCTTCCTCACCTGAGTCCTGTGTCTCTGTTTGAGTTTCCTATAACACATAAAGGTAAAGTTCGTGGTTTGAGAATCTGGCTGCACAGGTTCAAATTCCAGTTGTCTTACTTACCTCTCGGGTGAATCTATTTCTCTCGCTTTCCTTGTCTCTAACCTGGTAATTGTTGGGAACCACCATGAGCCACAATCTGACAAGGTCGTTGCAGCTTAGCAGGATCCTGACAAGGTCAGGGGTTGCAAGTGCACCTTGTCTCTCACTGAGGTTTTAAGGAGCATGGACTGGCTCCCTTTGTCTGGAGAAAAGAATCATTAGCCTGAAGGTATTTGTTTATGAAAAGTTAGGAACAGGTGACATGTCCTTAGCAACCAGGCCCGGATTTTGTGTATGTGAAACCAGGTGAAACTAGGTGAAAACAGGGAGGTCTGTGTTTCGTTAGTGAAACTAGGAGGGTCCAGGTTTCGTTTATGAAACTAGGAGATTGGAGCAAGAACATTGTTTTTCAGGTAGAGGGCATTGTTCCCCAGGCATAGAAACTCTCCTTGCATTGTATAACTTCCTACTTTGTACTGTTTATAAGCCTGATGCAAAAATAAAAAATTTGCCGGTTGGTCATCAGCCTTCTGGCCCTCTTGATATGTGCCTTGTCTGTTCATTCCTTCCCTGAGCACTTTCGGGTCAAGGACCTCTGGGATCCTGGCAGGTAATGACATTAGTACCTCCTTTATCAGGTACTTTCAGGGCTAAGATGCACTGGTGCATTGAAGCCTTAGCTGCAGCCGGCCCACAGGAAACGCTGACTGTTGCTGCTATGATTACATTGTGCAGTGCGGCTGTCATTGTGCAGTGATGACTATAAACTGCAGCACCGTCCTCCCCAGGCAGGGAAGTGAGCTGCCCACAGGACCTGGGATCTGCCTCTGTGACTTCAGCCACCATGGGTGCTGAAGTGCTCACATTCAACTGAAAAGTCCTCTAGAAAGTTAGCTGGCTCTGCTCAAGTTGTTAACAGCAAAAGGTGTTTCCAGAAGTCCTTGGTTCTTGCACTCTGGCATAGAAGAATCCAAGCAGAACATGTGGGGTGGTGAGGTAGATAAGTTTTATGAAGGGAAGGGGAAGTACTGGCTCTGCCAGATGAAAAGTATCAATGCAGGGTGAGAAGAAAAAAGGGCTGGGGTCTTTTGCCAGGTCATTTTTATACCACCTTGAACTTGAGGTGGGGAGAGAATACATCATCACCTGGTTCCTCTGACCTGTGGACTAGGGGGAGGAGCTCCTTGAGTCGGGAGATGGAGTAGACCCAAACTTTCCCTAATCCTAAACTGCCTCAAAGATGACCTATAGGGTCATGGCCATGGGTGGTGAAGGAAGTAGTCCCCAAAAGAAGTGGAGGAGGTACTAGAAAATAGAGCAAAAGGTAAGTAATACAGGACCCTGGCAGAGGACTCAGGAAAACCTGCTGTTACAGATTGAATGGGTGGGAGGGAACTGAGACAAAGTCTCTCGTACAGATGCTTTGAGGCTTGGAGCACTGCATGGGCAAGATGACAAAGAAGGAACAGAGGGAAGGCCACCATCTCTTGCAGGATCTTCACATGTCCTTTGTGGACTTTGGGATCTGAACCTTGGGAAGTTAGTGGCTGCACACCTGGCCTCCCTGAATTCCAGAATCTCTCCTTCCCTTATTTTCTCCTGTCTTGCAGCTCTTCATCTCTCCTTCCCTTCCAGTCCTCCTCTCTCAAAGATCCCCAGCTAAGCCACCCAGAACCCAGCCTCCATGATGGGACCTTCACATTTGTCCTCTCCGGCCTTAAGGGCCCACCACTTCCTCCTACAGATAAGACATAGAACTGGAAAAGAGGGGGCAGAGACCACTCGACAGGGGCTTCCTGCATCCTGACTACCCAGGATGGCAACCCAAAGGTACAGTGTTTGGATGGGGCAAGGGAGGGAGCCTGTCAAGAGTACCCTACCCTTTCCTCAAGACAAACAGCCCAGAGAGCAGCTAAGCATCTGTGGGTTGGCAAAGGGAGGGGAGTCAGCCCTAGTCAAGCATGGTGTTTCCCGTCTTAAACTCTATATTAATAGCATTTTGACACACAGATCATTGCCAGCCTTGTCTTTTGGCTCAACAGTTGAGACTATGCAGGTTGAAGGCAATAGCTCTAATTCATTTCATCTTCATAGCTGTGTAGTATTCCACTGAAATCAGGTTGTTCCAGTTTCTCACTAGCATAGAGACCAAGTCATTGTGTCCACTGGTACAAATATGCAAGTCTTCCTAGTGCACACACTCACAAGCAGAATCGGTGGGTTACGTACTTTTGTGCCTTCTCAACTCTGCCAAGTTTGCCAAATAGTGTCACCAGGCCACTGAGCCAGCTTACTCCTATGCCCTTGCTGGTTCTCCACATGGTCATGGCTTGTCACGATTTTTACCAGCTGCCATTGTTGTTGCATTGGGTCTCACTATGCAGCTAAACATCTTCCCAGACACTGGTTTGTTGCTCACACATCATTGATCCCAATCAGGAGGAAGACTCCTCCCAAGAGATCGTTTTTTCTGTTCAGTATCACTAAGCCAGAGAGCAAAACTGAAGTTGAGTGTCAATAGCCAAGTTTATTCAGTGGCCAGAGAAAGGAGAACAGAGATCTAGGCCTGAAACTCAATTTCTGCAGGGTTAGAAGAAATGAGAAAGATACACACCTGTATTCCTAGCACTTGGGAGGCAGAGGCAAGAGGACAGTTAGTTCAAGTCAGTCTTGAACTAACTGTCGTTAGTTTGTAAGACTCCATGACTCCATCTCCAAAATAACCAGAGCAAAGTGGACTGGAGACATGGTTCAAATGGTAGAGCACCTGCTTTGCAAGTGCAAAGCCCTGACTTCAAACCCCAGTCTCTCAAACCCTCCCCCACCCCAAAAAAAAAGAGAAAGAGAGAGTAAGGAAAGGGTTTAACAAGGGGGAAGACTGTGCATATCTTTCCTAGAATAGGCAGATATTTCCACAACTCAGGCACCCCCCTTCTTTGCTCCTTGTATGGTCATGGCTTGTAGGCATGTCACTTAGTATGTAAATTACATTATAATGAAGTTAGAGGTCCTCTGATGTCACTCTGGCAAACCATCTTAGATTCAGCCAGTTGTGGCTATAGAGGAACTTCTGTCCTTCAGGCATCCTGTCCTCAAAGATAAAAAGATTCGAGAGAGGCAGAAATTCAGCTGGGCCACCCAGGCAGCACACTGGATCACAGGTGGACAGTTCTCCCGTTATTTTATTATCATTGTCCTTAGTTGACTTGGGGAAGTTGTGAAAGGAGCCAGCA